TTGAAGTCCACAAGTCTTCAAGTTGCCAAGGTTGGAGACCCCTGCTCTAAAGCCCCAAGTTTTGCCAAAGCCAGTTATCCCAACGATGATCTTTTGGACTTTGAGTGTGGTGACTGTTCTGTCTTATCCCCTGGAGTGAAAGGGAAATCTGCCTGCCCGGACATCTTCAATCAGCATCACTTGGAGGGCTCATTTGCCATGCTCACTGTAAGCATCTCCTTCTTTTTCCCTGCAGACCCTTTCTGCAAAATGCTACCAACGAAACTGCGTGTGGCGGTAATTGGGGCAGGAGCGGCAGGACTGTGTGCTGCCCGGCACATCCTTGCCTCTTCTGGGACTTTTGCTCCACCCGTGGTATTTGAGGCCTCGGATCGCTTGGGAGGCACCTGGATTTACACGGAGGAGAAAGAAGATGCCATGGGAAGAATCATCCATTCCAGCATGTACCGGGACCTCAGGTAGTCACTCAAGGGTGCTTTGGGATGGGCTCTCTATGCCAGTGTCTACCAATATACTAGAACAATGGTCGCCAACCAGTGGGTCGGGGACCACTGGTGGTCCGCGAGAAAATTTTGGTGGTCTGCAGAGAAATGTCACCCCCAAAACCAATTAATCCAGGCTGTGTGGGAATACAAGGCTGCGTGGCCCACATGGCCCGCAGGAACACAAGGCTTGCATTGCTTGCATTGTGAACAACACGAGATAGTGAGGGGAGGGGGAAAGGGCGGAGGGGGGGAACTTGCCCCACTTACCCCATGCGCCTCACCTGGCCACCGGGGCTGCTTCTTTCCACTTCTTTCTTCTTCTGCTTTTGTCTGCACCCAAGGAAAGCAGCCCTCCCCAAACCCCTCCAGAAAGGAGTCTTTGGGACCCTGCAAGGCATCCTGCTCCAAGAGGCTGCGCCGACGCAACAAGTCTCACGAAGACTCATTTCTGGCGGAGTTTGGGGGAGAGAAAAAAAGACTTCTGCTGCTTTCCTTGCATGAAGCCAAAAGTCTCTCTCTTTCTCTCTCTCTCTCTCCCTCCCTCCCTCCCTCCCTCTCTCTCTCCTCCCCTGAGAACAGAGCTGGAGACAGTATCCTGCGATCCCAAATAAAGAATGATCGATCGGTAGGAAAACAGGGTGGGGAATTTTTCTGCAGACTTTGGGGGGGATTTTCCCAGAGTCTCTGGTCCGCGGGATTTAAAATTCTGAGTTTGGTGGACCCTGAGTCCAAAAGGTTGGCGACCCCTGTACTAGAAAGCATAGGAGGAGGCCTCAGGCAGCTATTCTTTTAATACAAAAAAAAGAAAAAGAAAAAAGGAAGGAGTCTGGCCAGGGGAGAGGCGTGGAATGCAGTGCAGAAAGCGTGCTTTAACCTGCTTCTGCTCCTAGGACCAACCTGCCCAAGGAATCAATGGCCTTTCCGGATTTCCCCTTTGATCCATCACTGCCTTCATTCCTGCACCACTCGGATGTTCTGACCTACCTGGATAGCTATGCAGAGCAGTCTGGAGTCTGTGACCATGTCAGGGTGAGAGATGATGGGGCTGTTTGAAGCAGGGAGGAGTGGCAGAGCAAAAAGAGGCAGACGCTCGATGGGAGGAGGGGGGCAAGGGAGTACAATGAGTTGCCAAGGTTTGCCTCTAGATCTTTCAATGCAATACAGCGTAAATGCTGCATCTGTTGATATAATTATTATGATTGATCACACAATCAGACAGATGTTTAGGCATTTTTTACAGGAGCTGAAATTATTATTTTTATACTGAGATAGATAGATATGGATGGAACAGAGAGAAAGAGGGAGGGAGGGAGGGAGGGAAGGAGAGAGAGAGAGGGGGGGGAGGGAGGGAGGGAGGGAGGGAGAGAGAGAGAGAGAGTCAACTTAAGGTAGCAAACATATATAATACTCCTGCCTCCTATTTTCTGAGACAATAACAGCCCTCTGAAATGGACTGTGGTAAGAGAGAGAGTAAATGGACCAAAATCATCCAGCTGGCTTTCATACCTAAGGGAGGCATATCACTCACAGGGTCCTGGTTTCTGTCCTAACACCTTCACCACTACACCATTAGTTTTGCTGCAGAACAACCACAGCTTACAGGCCAGAGCTAGCTGGTTTCTGGAACTCCCCTGTTCTCTTCCATTTTCCTCCACCAGTTCCAATGGCAAGTTGAGGAGGTCAGGCCCGCCCAGAGGGATGCAGGCCGCCTAGGTGGCTGGGAAATCACAGCCTCAGTGCAGCACCCAGAGTCAACCCGGCAAGTCACAGAGCACTTTGATGCCGTCATGGTCTGCACTGGGTGAGTCCTAGTTGAGCTGGGATGGTGCTTTTGATAAGAAGAGAAGGAGCAATAAATTGGTGGTTTCCAAGTTTAACTTCCAAGGGTGAAGTTATTGCTGTTATTGTTGTTGCTCTGTGGGGAGGTGAAGATTCGAAGAGAGAGTGGAGATTGTAGGTAACTAACCTTCTCGTGATTTCTGCAAAATTGTGTTAGAATGAATGGAAGACCAGGCAAATCACTTGATGCTTTTGTAAATCAAATAAGAAAAGGGGAATACGCTCAGATGCTTGACATGTCTCTGTTCTCCAACCTCCATCCTAATAGTTTTATTTCTGCAGCCATTACACTGTCCCATTTATACCTCCCATTCCCGGGTTGGACACTTTCCAAGGTAAGCTTTAAATCTTCCTTACTCTTTAGAGACAAGGGTGAACTTCTGGCTAGATAAGGCTAAAATCATCAGGTCCAGCATTTGACTTCCCCATCGTCCAATCAATTGAAATAGTCTAGAGCAGGGGTGTCCAACCTTGGCAACTTTAAGACTTGTGGACTTCAACTCCCAGAATTCCTCAGCCAGCAAACCTGCTCTAGAGACTTGTTTAATAAACAGTTTACTTATTACATTGTTCTGGAAAATACCCAATCGGAGCAAGAGGGCAGTAGCCTTTTTTTTCTGGTGTTGTTCCCTTACCACCATTGTTTAGACATAAGTTGCCTCTAAATGTTGATGTTTCGTGTAGCACAGCCCAGGGCCTAATAGCCAATAATACATGTATCTGTCATGAACGTGCTTGATCTTATTTAAAGCCAATGGACACCCTTATGTCTTAAGCAGCCAATTCCATGAACTTAGTTCTGCCTTACATATTCATGCTTTGATCACAGATATATATTTTTTGTGATCAGTTTGTTTGTTTTTGTTGCAGTGCAGAGTTACACGAGACAACCATTTTAAAAATGCCATTCTTAACTTAAAATTGTTTGTTTTAAATTTATTACAGCTATTATGCTACATAATACTTTTTATACATAATTAATATGCCCTGTCTGAATGAATGCAGAGAATGTAAAGTTTCTACTTCAGGGCCCAGAATTGTTACATAGTTGAATAGTTGATTTATAAAAGAATAAGTAAATAAACAAACTGTTCCCTTTTCCTTTAGTGGAAAGCATTAAATTCTATGTTTGCAACCAAACAGCAAGCAATAACCCCTGTTCTTGTTGTATCTCAATGCCTCTTGGAAGTGCAACAAGCATTTTACCAGACTTGGATTTCAAAAACAAGGACAAAGAGGAGGAAATTTCATGAAATAAAAGCAATCTAGCTTCCAAAAATTGAATACAATGCTCCAGAGACAGCGCACAGAGCCTACTTAAGTTCTGGGAATAGGCCAGGAGGAACACTTCAAGAAAAGGAAGATCCCATATACCTCTAACTGAGAGTACCCAAGTATTCAAAGGGCATGATAAGAAGGAGAAGAAGTTAGAAATGTATTCTGTAGGCTTCATTCATTTAACAAGATCAGACAAAGGTGTAGCAAATACCTTTGCAAAATCCATAACCTGTATCTTAGGGAGTCAAATCCAGATATTTAATTACTGCTAACCTGAGGTTTTTGTCATTTAGCATTGGGTGCAAATTCAGTTTATTTGATGACTCTATACTAGCAATGACAATAGCACTTAGACATATATACTGTTTCATGGTGCTTTATAGCCCTCTGTAAGCAGTTTTCAGAGTCAGCCCCCAACAACCTGGATCCTCATTTATAGTTCCAAGGTATTCGGCAGACCCCGAGAAAGGGTTAATTCAGTAACTAAGTTAAGCATGTCTTGTGAACAAAGTCAGGCCCTCACTATTTTGGGGGGGATTGCAGCATTGTTGGTTTCTGGTTTCTGCCCTTTTGTTCGGAGGAGATCAAAGTTACCGTCACCATTCACCACCTGCCCAAAGGCATCAACAGGAAAAGCGAATGAGCAAAAAGGTCCAGGCAGGAGGAAAGTAGAATAGTGCCAGCCTTTTGAGGTAGTCCAGACAAGAAGCACAAACCATGAGTACTAATATTACCTTTGTTGTCAGCTTAGAGTAACAGTCTTGCAACTCTGAAAGCACTGCTCCCTTCTTTTACTTCTACTTTCCAGAAAACTAGGGAGGGTCCCTTCTGAGTGGCTTCCCTTGCCCCTTTTCCTTCTGTGGGCTGAGATACCTTTTGCATGGCAATTGGCTAAAGGTGAAGGTTCCCCCTGCACATATGTGTTAGTCGTTTCCGACTCTAGGAGGCGGTGCTCATCTCCGTTACAAAGCCAAAGAGCCACTGCTGTCCAAAGACATCTCCGTGGTCATGTGGCTGGCATGACTAAACGCCAAAGGCGCACGGAACGCTGTTACCTTCCCACCAAAGTGGTCCCTATTTTTCTACTTGCATTTTTACATGCTTTCGAACTGCTAGGTTGGCAGAAGCTGGGACAAGTAACGGGAGCTCACTCCCATTACGTGGCGCTAGGGATTCAAACTGCCGAACTGCCGACCTTTCTGATTGACAAGCTCATTGTCTTATCCTCTGAGTCACTGTGTCCCTTTTCTTGGCAATTGGCTAGTCTTTGGCTATTCTTCTTGTCTCCTAGGGTCATTCCCCCAATACCATTACATGGAGGCAGAGCAATAATATTGCACATATGTTGAATATGTGGTGTACCCTACGCAAGAATGTGATGAGATGGAAGCTATTGCTTGCCAACATTTTTTTCCCCTCTCTCTCCCCAGGCCGTCTTCTACACAGCCACTCTTACCGCTATCCAGAGCCCTTTGCCAACCAATCTGTTGTACTGGTAGGCGCTGGTCCATCAGGAGTTGACCTGGCCTTGCAACTCTCCAGTGTAGCTGCTCAAGTAGTACTCAGCCACAAAAGGCAACATGTGTGCGGGCTGCCCAAGGATGTGATACAGATGCCTCCACTTCTGAAAGTGGGGCAAAAGACAGTGGTATTCACAGACGGTTCTAAGATGCCAGCTGATGTCTTGATTCTCTGTACAGGCTACAAGTACAGCTTTCCCTTCTTGGACTTGGCCCAGTTGGGCTTACAAGAGACAGATTATGGAATGGGTCCCCTGTACCAGCATTTACTACCTCCCCAGCACCCATCGCTCTTCTTGATTGGGGTTTGTCAGCAGATATGTCCTTTCCCACACTTCCACTGCCAGGTGCTATTTGCGCTGGCTGTGCTAAGTGGGCGCTGTTCCCTCCCTTCTGTGGCCGACATGGAGGCTGAAGTCCAAAAACAGCTGGGACTATATTTGAAGAATGGAGGGTTGGCTCGGTACTTCCTGAAGCTGAAGGAACAGCAGTGGAGTTATATGGACAACCTAGCTCACCTTGCTGGCTTCCCACCTGTGCCACCTGCTGTCCAACAAATTTACGAAGATACCCATGCCAGCCGTCTCTGCAATGTGAGCACCTATCGTAGCAGAAACTATCGGCTATTGGGCCCAAGTGCTTGGGAGTTGGTGCAGGATTGGGGTGAGAATTGCATAAAGACTGGAGATTCAAAATGAGGACCCTTAATCCCCACGTGGCAATTCTTCTCTCTTCCTCTGTGTGGTTTTCCTTCTAAGGCCCAACTGCAATCAGGGGGAGTGGGGCCAAGAATTGCCGGGTGAGATAGAGAAAGAACCAAGTCCTCCAATGGCATCATTGAAGTACAAGCAAGAAACTTGAAGCAGATCGTAAAAAGGGAGAAATAATGTATATTCCATCTGTAAAAGAAGAGGAGATTAGATTCACACAACATGCTTAATCCTAAACCAGGTTTTATTTAAAAAAACAAACAAACAGTGGCTCTCTATGGCCAAACTAACAAATTGTCAAAGTTAAGTGACAAGCTAGTTTAGGGACATCCACCCTGGGGCATGTTTTAAAAAGTCAGGAGGAAAACTACAATCGTGGCTAGTTCGATTGGTTTTGCACAGCTAACAATCCCAGTTTTGATTAGTGTGTTATGGTGCAACCGCTAACTACAGAGTGTCCAGGCCAGGTTTTCTGGTGTGCTCTGTGACTGGGCGAAGCTAGAAAGCCAGGGTTCCTTAATTAACAACTCTTTTTGACTATGCATCACACTGCTTACCACGGTCCAGAAAATATCTGCCCTTTGTGTCCCCGTGTAAATAATTAGAAATAAAGAGAACCTGATTCCAATGAAAATGAGAAAAAAATAATCCAGTTAAGCTCCGGTCCATAATCTAAGTTTCCTTTGGTTCAACAGAGATAGGAAGTTATAGGAGGGAAGAGGCAGATCACAGATAGCGTTTTATACCAATCTGTTTTCTTATGTTTGCATTATATGTATCTTTGAAAGAAATGAATGGAAATTCATAGCAGTGTTTTAATTTGGGAGCTAGAAACTTCTTCTGGTGATATCTAATTGAGGGGACAAAGAATAAACCAAAATCATAATCTATCTGAATTGAATGCATTTCGTATTTTAAACAATTCCTGTTTCAAAAGATCTTAGAGTCGTGAGAGAATACTTTTAATGAAAAAAGAGAAAAATGTATCTGGGCTAGGTTCACACAAGTTCCTGATTACTGAACTGACTTGTTTCTGGATTTGCACCAAACAGTACACTAAACTGTAAACTAACCACATGTGTGGGCTTTCCATACTATGGTAAGCCATGGAAAATTAATGGTTTCACAATAGCCAAGCTTAGCAATGTTATGCAAATGAAGCTTCAAGATCTTTAACAGACCTCATTAAGCCAGTGTACAAATACAAACATTGTCTGAGCTTTTGTGAAGCTTGTCCTTTGTGTTCATGCACGCACAAGGTTGTTTATCCTTTACAAAGAAGAGAGAAAGAACATCAGTGGCAATATTAAAAGAAGTCAGGTGTCTTTTGTATTATGCTTGAGCCCTGGTCCCTAGATAGGTTTTGAATAAAAACGTGGAGTTGCTTTTTTATTGTCATCTGCTGGGACAGACTTCCCATTTCCAGTTCATAATGTATAGTGCTAGAAACTGGTGATCTTCTACCCATGTATTAACAAGACCTGGCCATGATTCACTTCCCACTTTGGATGAGACAAGCCAAGTGCTGCCTTTTTCTGAACACTTAATACGGTGTTTCTCAACCTTAGCAACTTTAAGATATGTGAACTTCAACTCCTGGATCTCTTTTGCTGGCTGGAGAATTTTGGGAATTGGTCCTCACATCTTAAAGTTGCCAAACTGGAAAAACAGTGACTTAAACATATAGCCAGCACTAATGTGGCCATAATGAGGGCCACTGTTTCATTCAATGTCTGCATTTGTGCGCATGCATGCACATGAATGCAAAATGACAAATAAAAAGTAAGTTGTCCTTCATGCCTGAGACTTACCTGAAAACATCTATGCCCTTCTTTGGCCCAATAGTGGGTCCCACAATGATGCCATAAAACAGTCCATAGATTTCATCTGGCTTTTGGTGAATATGAGTTTACAAACTGTTCCCCTTACAAGCAGATGCTTTTGCAAATGGAGAAACTTCAACACAGCTGCTGTGTGTATCCATTATATGTCCTCAACTTTTCCCTTAGCCCAAAAATTATCTCTCCTTGATTTAAAAGTTCCAGCCCTTCTCTATTTCCCTAATACATTTTTTTAAAAAACTTTTGAAGCCATTATGTGCTCTCAATCTTACTTCTAAATTTGACATCCAGGTTCATATCTGAAGTACATGATAAAAAGGAGAATCCATATATACTTAAGGTTTTTATTATTCCAATGACTTCAGTCAAAACATGTACTGGTGCTGAATTCCATTTACAATGCTTTAAACTGAAATGAGTCAGTCTTTCTGTAATTTCATCTTCCATATATGTGAGGATTAATCTTCGATGCATTGGAGGTACACAGTGATTTGTTGTGTAGACAGTTTACTTTATCCTCTACAAACATTCGGTTTGGGGGGAAATGTTTTTTTTTAATAAATTTTTATTGTTTTTTAAGACAAACATAGAAAAAACATAAAAACTGACCCTTCTTCCATATATATACATACAGTGTGTCGGTTGGTTTACAAATTGTTTTGTGCTTCCATTTTGTAGTCTTCAATTACAATTACACTGTATATATTCTTATATTTTCAATCAAATATTAAGTACATTAATATCATTGTTAATCAATCATTTGACTATACTTTTATTCATTACTGTTTTAGGAAATAATCCATATTTTACTTAATTTGTTTTATGGCAGTTCATATTATCATCTCAAATCTATCCTACAATCATTTTGTAGATATAATAAGAAAAGAATACATCTTTATATATTTATTATTTTCTAAGAATCTACATATTTCATTACCATGTTTTATTGTCTAACCATTGATAGAATAGATCCCAAATTTTATAAAATTGTTTATCATTTTGTTCTCTGATTTCAAATGTCAATCTACTCATTTCAGCATATTCCAATATTTTCTTAATGATTTCCTCCTGTAATGGTATTTTCTCATTTATCCAGTTTTTGGCAAATACAATCCTAGCCGCTGTTAATACATTTACAATCAGGTATTTCAGTTCTTTACTATACATTTCAGGCAAAACTCCCAATAAAAATATCTCTGGTTTCAAGTCTATATGCTTTTTTATCATTTTTTCCAACCACGTGTGGATTTTAGTCCAATATTTTTTGGAATCCGCACAAGTCCACCACATATGGTAATATGAGCCTGGTATCTGATGACATTTCCAGCATTTTTCAGATTTGTTCTTGAACATTCTTGCTATTGTCGGGGGAAAATGCCACCTGTAAAACATCTTATACAAATTTTCTTTATATGCTGTTGACATTGTCATCTTGTAATTTTGAGACCACAATTTTTGTCATTTCTCTAGATCAATCCCATATCCAAAATTCTTCCCTGTTTTGGGGGAAATGTTATTAGAGCCAGAAAACACTTCGACAATTTCCATGAGAGATGCTGAGTGCAGGATAGTGAAGCAGATTAGGTATCTGAAGAGCCGAGGTGGCACAGTGGTTAGAATGCAGTACTGCAGGCTACTTCTGGCTGCCTGCAATTTGGTAGTTCGAATCTCATCAGACTCAAGGTTGACCCTTCCAAGGTCGATAAAATAAGGACCCAGATTGTTGGGGGCAATATGCTGACTCTGTAAACCACTTAGAGAGAGCTGTAAAGTACTGTGAAGCTGTCTATAAATCTAATTGCTATTGCTATCTAAACCAAGAACACCTACAGGAATCTCAGATACTGGCCAGAAAATTGGGCGGTATCTTTTATGCCCCCCCCTCTGATAAATATGTAGAAAACTGGATTCACTTAATGACTGCCTGATTCCCTTAACTGCAGTGATCCATTTAACAACCATGGCAAAAACAAAAATCACAAAATTGGGTGTGACTCACTAACAACTACCTTGGCAATGGAAATCCAAGTCATAATTATGGTTGTAAGTCAAGGACTACCTGTAGCACCACCTTAATGCTAATTTAACTCAACGCATCTTTTCCTGGGCCCTTTCTGCTAGGGTGCAAGCCTTGGAAAAGGTAGAGCTTGTTTAAGGATCAGCGAGGGGAAAGAAGATGCCTGTGAAGAGTCTGTACACTATTTTGCTTCAAATCCAAACACCATGCCCTTCCGAGGACAAACAATTACTTAAAGTGGCTTCATTCAAACCCAAAACAAGGATCCTTATCTAGTTATGCCATAGTCAAGTGCTTGGGAAACTTTTGCCAGGTTTGTTTATTAATTTAATTTAAATTTATTGACGTCCCAACTCCAGTGGACTCCTCAGTGTGAACTGGGGACTTTATAATTTTCCAAAGAAAGAGTGAATTTCACCAGTCTGTTGTTGAATCGAAATGGTGTCCTCAAATTCTTATCTGAGCAATGTAATTATACCAGACTAAAGGGGCAAATGCTTGGGTGAAAAAGCTGTCCTTCTCCAGTGGCCTTTTTCTTATTCAAGATGCAGGGGCAGATTGTGTTTCCAAGGGCTGGCCAGACAGTATTATTCCTTCCACATAGTCACTCTGTGAAGCCTTGGTCCTAAAAAAGGGCTCTAGGGGTACTTGTTTTTGGAAGGTCTCAGTGGTAAAATAATAAACCAGAGGATCTAGGGCTGCATTCACACAGGACAGGAGCAGGACATATCTGTAGGCCTGATCTAAATTATTTTTATTCAACCCTGGTATATGATAGCAAAGTACCGTCAAATGGTAGGGCAAGAAGCAACCCAGAAAGATGGCCACGTTCATTACTACCATTAACCTGATCTTGGATATATTGATCAGCTCCATCTCCACACTTACACTCCGGTGGAAAACATGGAGCAGACTATAGGAGGAAGTTACCATGACAGCCAATGTAATGGCATAGCATAGCACCATAGTACTGGAAATACCACCATTTGTGATATATTGAGGATGTTCATCAAAACAGAAAGTGGCATTTTTCACAGATTTCTTGCCAGCAAAGTATGTGGGAATGGTTCCCCCAATACTCAAGGCCCATATACCCACACAGATGTACTTGGCTTGTCGGCGTATGGCCTGTGACCAGGAGCTGAGTGGAAAGTGCGTAGCCATCCAACGGTCTGAGCTGATGCAAGTCAGAAGGAAGATGCTGCCATACATGTTAACCAAGAGCAGCAGGCCTGCCACTTCACATGTGGTTTGAGATAGCTGGGGTTGCCAGCCATAGTAGTAGATCCTCAGAGGAATTGACGCCAACAGCAAAAGATCGCAGACTGCTAGATTCTTCATGTAGACGGTGGTGATGGAGCGGACCACATCTCCGAAGATAAAAATGTACAGAGCTATAGAGTTCAGCAGGAGACCTATCATAAAGATTAGTGAGTAGCTGCTGGCAAAGATCAGATTATGTACCCCGCCACAGTTGCTGCAGTTGCTGGAATTCATCTTTAAATGTCTAGCAGCAGGTCCACACTTCGCAGTCTTTTAAAAATTTCATATATCCTGTCTAGCAGGAACCAAGTGATGCCTTCCTCCTAGTTTAAGAAAAAATAGATATTTGTAATTTATATTTATGAGACTACAATTGCCAGGGTCAGATATTTATTTTTCATACATTGTCTGTGTGAGACACTTTACAAAGTTCCATAAAATATATCATTGCCCCAGGGTTTCAGTCTAAAGTTTCATACAGGCAATCTTTCCTGATTTATTAGTTTTCTTTCTCATTCTGCCTGCTTAAGTCCAATCTATTTAAAGCTAAGCTCCCTGTAGCCTTATTCATGTAACAATATTGGGGCTAAGGACAATCGATTTTGTGCAACTCGTGAGAAATTCAGCCCAGATTTCAAGGTGAAACTCCTGTTCCAAAATAATGGTTTTTCTTAGTCATCCCCCACTGCCCTCTTTTAGGCTTTACTTCTGAAACCTGAACAGTCTTTGGCCTCCTTAAAAGAAACCCTCTAAACTTCACCAATCAAACAGGAAGCTGTAGCGTTGCAAATGGAAATTTAGCTAACCGCCATTAGATTTTAAGGACAAAGTTCAGCTTATTCATAGACCAAATCTTTTTGCTGCAGAATGTTGCAGAGGAAGAAGTTAGCCAGAGGTGGCATTTATCATTGCAAAAAAGGAAGGAGAGAAAAAAGAAAATGAATACTTAAAGAAATTTAACTATTAGGAAGCAGCCCAACAAATATTAACATCGTCTGACAAAGAATCAGAGGCCAATCTAAGCTTATGGTCCCTGATCTATAAAACAGGGAGAAGCCAAGGAAATGTCTGGTTTTAGTTCTTCCTCACGAAAGCAGCAAAGCTTATATCTGGGGCTGAGATCTTGCAAAGGGAGCTGGACACCCACACATTGCAGCCAGAATTTCTCAGTGGGTAGCTAGATCAAAAACACCTGAATTCTTTAGCTGATCTAGAATATGCCAAGAAGTTTCTTGCAGAGACTCAACAGAGGAGGGTAATGGGGTTTAACTGCCAAAGCCCCATAAAGTTAGCTATCCATTTGGTCCATAATATTTGGTGAATAAATTAAATAGGTTTCACCTATCTTGAATTTTCTCCCTGACCTTCAGTTATTTACAGTAAAAAATAGGAACTCTATTCCCATCCTTCAGATAATCTGAAAGTCTTTTAAAATTCAAAACTTGAAGCAGCTTTTCAAAACAGCCAAATGTTTTGGGTCCCATTGCATGACATTTTTATTATAAAACCTTCTTGGTTTTCACTTGATATGTTCAGCTAGAAAGTGATTGGAAAATTGGTTTGATTTATAAGCTCTAAGTTCCACCCAGGTGTTGTACATTATTGTAAGTTATAGCATTCAGTTTAATAGTGAACAAGTTAGATGGGCATTTCAAGTTTAAACAACATTTCAGGTTTTTAAGAATAGATCCGACAGCCGTTTGTCTGGAATGGTATCAGGTCTCCTGCTTGAGCAGAGAGTTGGACTCAGGGGTGGGATTCTACCAGTTCGCACCTATTCTCTAGAACCAGTTGTTAACACTCTAAGCAGTTCGGAGAACCGGTTGTTAGAAGAAATTACTGGGCTAATCCTGTAAGTGTAAGGAAGGCAGGAAGGAAACATTCTGGTGTTGCTTACAGAAACTGCCTCTCCGTTAACCCTTATTACATTCTTGGCAAGACTAGACTTCCTGTCTCAGGAACGTCTCTGGAATTTTTTCCCCTCCTTTGCTGGTACTTTGCTTGTGTGGAGTGACCATTCAAAGTTACAATGGCACTGAAAAAAGTGACTTATGACCATTTTTCATACTTACGACTGTTGCAGCATCTCCACAGTCATGAGAGACCAGGCGAGGAGATGCGTGCCTCGATGTGAGTGATATTGAGTTGGCCACGCCCAGCCAATAACATGACCACCAAGCCATGCCCACCAACTAAGCCACGCCCACAGAACCGGTTGTTAAAAAATTTGAATCCCACCCCTGGTTGGACTAGATGGAAGACCTTCAAGGTGCCTTCCAACTCTGTGCTCTGTTAACATGTGTGGAAATGTAGGAGATGAAAGAAGGATAAATATTTACTCATATGTAACTACTTTGCAGATATAAGGAAGTTCTCAGATCAACACAGTTCTCCATGCTTGCTTTTAGAAAGGATCTTCCATCATGCAGTTAAATAAGGCTAAAGAAGATAAAGACGATTTTAATCTTCTTGATTCATCATATGCTAATTCTATTTTAAAACCCTGTTTTCATTACTTGGTAAGCTTAGGGATGAAACCCGCTTTAAAATGGAAAGGGCTTCTGGCTGTTGATTACTAAGTCAAATGAATCACCTTCAAGTCCTGTAGGCCTCTGAACCTGTGCAGCTTTAGTCCACATCCATGTTATTTATTTTAAAAATAAACAATGCCTGTTTTAATATATTCAATCTAATTTCTCCCTTTTCACAAAAAAAAGATGATTCGGTAGCAAAGTTCCTTTGCTAGAAGGAAGCACCTGAATTAGTTCACAAAATGCCTAATTGAAAGGACAGGGAATGATAAGGCTGAATGCCTGAAGAACCCCTGCCAATTCAGATAGACAGCATCAGGGAGATAGACATAGACTGTACTCATAGAAAGCTATTTCTCTGCCCCATAATTTAATGCAAAGAAATTGTCAACTTCAAACTGAACCGGGCTGCAGCTATCTTTCTGTTCCTCATTTGCTTCCCAGAAGAGGAAAGGGGGAAGGAGGTTGGAATGCATTAGTAGGTGCAACAAAGAGCTTTCTCATGAGAACCAAGGTCATCTCTACAGGCAATCGAAAAGGTTGGGGAAGGAGTGCCTGAAGAGCTTGCCAATTAACGCCATTGGCCAGCATGACCTGTGACACTTGTGGATGGGGTTGTTTCCTAGTTTAATTATACTGAAACCGTGGGAAAGATTTAGATTTGGTTTGCCATTGAAGCTGTGTCGATATGCTGTGCTCATTAAAGAAGACATTTGAGAAGGAGCCAAGTCTCAGAGTTCTGATTTGCTTAAGTTCGTTAGTTGGAGTCTTGGCAGAAACATTACATTATGATTTCTAATTAGTTAGATGCAGCCACAGAAAGTTAACCTATAAGATAATCCCTAGAGCAGAGCTCCTAACTTTGTATAGTGTGAACATGCTTGGAGTAAAACAAGGGTGGCACCTGTAAATGCTGACATAGATAGTAATGACATAATGCAGCTTACCAGAATATAGTACAGGTAGTCCTCGACTTACCACCACAATTGAGCCCAAAATTTCTGTTGCTAAATGAAACAGTTGTTAATTCAATTTTGCCCTATTTTACAACCTTTCTTGCCACAGTTGTTAAGCAAAACACTGTAGTTGTTAAGATAGTAACATGGATGTTAAGCAAATCTGGCTTCCTCATTGACTTTGCTTGTCAAAGGTTGCAAAAGGTGATCATATGACCCCGGGATACTTCAACTGTCATAAATGTGAGTCAGTTGCCAAGCATCTGAATTTTGGTCATATGACCATGGGCATGCTGCAACCGTCATTAGAGTGAAAAAAGGGTCATAAGTCATTGTCTTCAATGCCGTTGTAACTTCAAACAGTCACTAAACTGTTGCAAGTTGAGGATTAATTGTATATTATTACATTATTTGAGTTATGATGTTAAGAAACATCATTTTGTTTTTTTGTGTTACAAGCAATTGTAACACTCAATGATGCTTTTTCAAGAGGCAACTGGACTTTCTGGGTTTTCTTTGAAGAGGTTTTGCTTCTCATTCAAGAAGCTTTTTCAGCTCTGGGGACTTCCAGTTTGGGCTTCTTCGGCGACAGACTGAAATCCGCAATTGTGCGTGGTTTTGATCCGTGCTCACCACCGGAGCGCCCCGAGCCAGCTGGATTCGGGGCTAAGCCACCACGTAGAGGTGGTGAAGAGGGGGGAGACCACCAGCAGGGTCGAGGAGAGCCGCATCTCTCCTCCCCAGCTGGCCATTACTCCCTTTCCCGAAGGCGGTTGCAGCGGTGGTCAGAAATGGCCACCTCAAAGAAGAACCCGACTGGAAAAGATTGTGCAGGAGGAAGATAAGAAGAGAAAGCTTTGACTGACTGGGTTGAACTGAAAAAATGTTAAAGGTGTAAGCCTATTTAGAAGACATAGAGATAATGGGTGAAAATTTAATTGAAAGAGAGGATTCTGCAAGGGTACATAAGATAGCATTGTTATATTAGAAATAGAAATTAATTTAGAAAATATGAAACAAGTGTGGTTAAAGTGATAGATAAAATACTTATTGTAATGTAATGTTTGTTAATAAATAAATGAAATAAAGAGAATGAGAGAATGAAATTAGGAAAGGATGGGAACATTTTAACTGTTATTAATGATTTATAAAAGTTTAAGTGAAGAGAAATATGAAAAAATATGGAAATATTACAAGTGTTCCTAAGGATGTATGATATTTAATAGAAAAGAAATGTTAAAGATGTTAATTAATATTAATGGAAGATTGTAACTAACATTAATGGTTGAGCCAAATTGGAATAGAATGAGAATTTAATTTATTTGTGTTATATATATATTATGTTTAAGAAATTTGTGTGTATATTAAGAATGTACCAAGCAGAATTCAATTGGCAAAAGTTATGTGTTATAAAATAGAGATTAGATATTGAATGTTATAATTGTAAAGGCATAAATTGAAATTTAAATAAGATCTGAATGGACAAAAATTAAAAGATACAAAGGTGTCATACTCCAATCAGTAACTACAGGAGAAATCTTGTTTAATGAGAAAAGAAAATATGAAATTGAAACAGGACAGACAAAAGTATAAACATAATGACTAGAAAGATATTGAAACTTAGAAAAAGATATGTAATTGAACTTAGAAAGGAATGAGATAATCCAAAACAAGGTTAAGAAAACTAAGGGAAGGGGAAAATCACTGAAAAAAATGCTAAAATAGTAATAAGATATGGAATAGAATACAAAGATGAATATGAAATTGAGTTTGTGTCTGTATGGAAAAGTGACAACCTGGGATCATGCTATTCTCAAAAAAAGATATTTTATTTGTATTATGTTTTGTGAAAACCCAAATAAAAATGTTTACAAAATAAAAAAAGAAGCTTCTTCAGCTCTGACAGGATGGTGGAGAATGGAAGTCAGAGCTGGAGAACCTTCCTGAATGAGAAGCGAAACCTCTTCAAAGAAAAACAAGAAAGTCCAGTTGCCTCTTGAAAAAACACCTTTGCAACAACCATGACCTGGATGACTGAAAGTCTCCATAGAAACAGATGGCTATGTTCTGTGTTATGCTTGCATCAAAATATGCCAAAATTAATAGCCATTCTTGCTATGACTGAAATACTGCATGTCCTACCAATATAACTGAGGGGAAAAAAGTTAGATCAGATTTTGTGAAGTTGATGCAGGAAAATTAAAGAGATAAGATAGTGTGAAACAGTATCACATCTAGTTTACAGGAAGTTCTCCACTTACAGTACATCTACAATTGGGATCAGAAATTTAGTTGATAAGCAAGGTGGCTCTTCAGTAGCTCACACCCAATTTTTTGACCTTGTTTGCCATGGCTGTTGAGCTATTCACTGCAGTTGTTAAATGAATCACACAATCTTTAAGCAAGTCCGACTTCCCCCATTGAGTTTGCTTGTTGGAAGTTGGCTGGGAAGGTCACAAATAGTGATTAAATGCCCCTGGGACATTCCGACCATCATAAATGCTTGTTAACACCGCCCAAAATTTGATCATATGGGGATGCTGGGCATGTCAAATTTTTCAACTTTCAATTTCCAAACATTAGGGATGTTCAAAAGTTGTGACCTGCCTTGGGGATTGTAAAGATGTTTTGGTTACTTTAATATAATTTACAAGTGCTTGGTAGATAATTATGTACATATCATAACTTTTTAACATTTTGTTTGTTTCATTTGATAGTTTGAAGTGTGAGTAAATGATCGAACTGATCTGCCATAAGCCATAAGGAAAGAAACAATGACTTCTTCCGAAATCCAGTCAGCCTGTAATTCCCAGCCTGCAGCTACCAACATGCTACGGCTTTGTCTTGTAGCAGGGGTGTCAAACTTGATTTCATTGAGGGCCACATCAAGGTTGTGTTTGACCTGGGGGGGCATGGGTGTGGCCAGGGTGGCTCAACACTACTTGTGTCGGTGGCACCTGTGCTGGCCTGAGTTCTCTGCCCGCGGAAACGGGCTCCCGAGCTCCATTTTAAGTTGCAATGGCCTCCTACAACCCTTTGCCACCGAAAATGGCAATTTCGCTGGCAGAGGCAACACAGGCTGGTCCTTTGCTGTTTCCAGGCCAACCCTGAGGGCCAGATCTAAGCATCCCATGGGCCAGATCCAGGCCCTGGGCCTTGAGTTTCACACATCTGTCTTATAGCAACTTAATTATTAAGATTTGTTGCACAGTCAGCCAGATGTTTAGGCTGGATTTGATATTTTTATCCCATTATTATTATTATTATTATTATTATTATTATTATTGATAATTCATGATTAAATTCACAATCTGCTGGAAGCATAATAATTCAAATCCTAACCAATGTCCCAGGGGATGGGATTCAAAATTTTTAATAACCGGTTCTGTGGGCGTGGCTTAGTTGGTGGGCATGGCTTGGTGGTCATGTTATTGGCTGGGTGTGGCCAACTCAATATCACTCACATCGAGGCACGCATCTCCTCGCTTGGCCTCTCATGACTGTGGGGATGCTGCAGCAGTCATAAGTGTGAAAAATGGTCATAAGTCACTTTTTTCCAGTGCCATTGTAACTTTGAATGGTCACTCCACACAAGCAAAGTACCAGCAAAGGAGGGGGAAAAACTCCAGAGACGTTCCTGAGACAGGAAGTCTAGTCCTGCCAAGAATGTAATAAGGGTTAACGGAGAGGCAGTTTCTGTAAGCAACACCAGAATGTTTGGAACAGAGACACAGAGTGTCTTTTTTGTAGAATTATGGTATTCAGGTCCAATATGCTCAACATTTCCATATATCGGGAGGGAGTCCTTTAGGTATTTCTCTTAAGGCTCCAATCATGATTGGTATACCAGCGGAATTCTTTTCTACAAGCATTCAACTTCCATCTACAAGTCTTGGTATTTTGTAATTTTTTTCCAAATTACATTTTTCCTCTCAATCCTAATATCATCTGTTATAAGTGACATCAATGAACCAGGCTATCTTTTGAGTAACTTGCATCAGGCATGTTATGAACAAGGAGCTTGTCTTTTTGGATCTTAAAATCCATAAGAGCTCATCCATTTTTCAAAAAACTTCTCAATTTGATGGTCTCAGAGGTTCTTGTTATATTCAAATCCAAATTCTGGCTACTTGGGTCATGATGCTTCCTGTAGTCAGTTTGTATAATTTTGTGCAGCCGCTGCACCGCCTCCCCATGGCTCTTATTTTTTCCTCACATTATACACAACGAGAGCTATCATTGGTTGTTTTCCCCCTTTTCACTACAAAGGCGAGATTTGCTGTTGTTTCTTACATGCTTAATGTTCACTTTCATGGAATTAGTCAATAAAGCTTGTTCTTGAGCTGCAAAAACAACCCCTTCAGTTTCTTTCTTTCACACTGATATTAACCAACCTCAAATGTGCTCTTTATTGACTTTTCAGTGTATTATTCTTCCACTTAACAAATCAGTTTTCAATTGTTTCATTTCTATATTCAACCTTGATTGAACTGATTTTGTACTCAGCAATGACTGAAGTGATTGAGGCAAGCCATACAGAAAGAAACGAAACCCAAAGTTCTACTCTTTTAAGCAGCCTGGGTAGTAGTTCCAAGCCTGCACCGCCTCCCCATGGCTCTTATTTTTTCCTCACGTTATACACAATGAGAGCTATCATTGTCCTAGAAAAGGAGAAAACCCTGACTCCATTTTTTCCTCTGTTATGCATAATCTTATCTCATATCCCAACCTCCCCTTATCTTTAAATTAGAAAGTTTAATCTTTCTTGGAATTAAAAATATAAAAATATTATAATTACTGAAAAATAAGATATTTTTCATAATTAGTCATTGCTTTATTTCTGGGTTGTTTTGTTTAGCCAAAGGCTGACATGTCAGTTAACTACCATTAGTTATTCTAAGGCAGTTTGTACCTCAGATACTTTAGTTTTTCATGAAGAATCACTTCAGGAAAATCCTTCTCCAACTTTCAAGAGTTTCATGGATTGAGTCACTGATACTTTCCCTATTCAGCTATATCCTGGATTCAACTAATATTAGAATTCTAGGGTAGAGCAAGGTATTTTGAGCTGAGTTAACTTTCATTGATCCCAACAGTGCCTATGAGTCAGAAATCTCCAGCTGGTTCGCACATCACAATAAACAGTAGAATATAATTTCTGCAATGTAATTACAGAATAGCATGTAATATTAGCTACAGCTAAGGCAATTATAACACACAATGACATAATATCATACAATATTAACAATAGCATGGCTTAATATGAGTTGATTTGCATAACATGCTAAGACAGTAGTTGGATATGAACATAAATGCTGTATCACAAATTCCTCAATTCCATTTTAGCTTAGACTTAGAGCATTGGAAAAAGACAGCCAGTCATTTCTGAAGTAGACTGTCAAAAAGGCCCAGTCTTAATCTTTTATTCTAAGCAATTCTGCAACCCTACTTTGGGAGCTGTATCAGCTGATTTAACATTTAAGAATAACCATTACAATCCAATATATCTGTTTCTTTCTATTTAACACAGAGTGGCTATATACACCAGGGTGGGAAATTAATCTATGGATCTTCAACCCAGCAACCTCTCCTGCAGGTATTCCCTTATTCAGAAAGTCTATTCCCTCCTCTCTTTCCAAAGTACTTACTCACAGAGATTCACATCCTGGAATGACTGGTCATAAGAGCAAGGAGCTGCTTGAAGATAGCACCTGCCTGTATGTCTTCAGCACAATCATCTTCCTTCCTGCTGTTTAAAATTTAAAGCTGAAGAAAACCACACTCCACCTCCTATGGTAAAACCAAATTCTCAGAAGTCATTTCAGTATTTGCACAATTTTCTACTGCTAACTGAGTTATATTTTTCAAAACATTTCTGTAACCTGTTCACAGGTGAGGAACGATGAAAGATCTCTCCAGGTTGAAACTCTCAAAGGCGTCCAGTTAGAACCATTCGGTTAATAGGAAAGGATTCTTTTCTTAAGAGGAACCTTAAGAGTCACACAAGCTTCTGTAGCACAGGGGTCTCCAACCTTGGCAACTTTAAGCCTTATGGACTTCAACTCCCAGAATTCCTTAGCCAGCTACTGGCTGAGGAACTCTGGGAGTTGAAGTCCACAAGGCTTAAAGTTGCCAAGTTGGAGACCCCTGCTCTAGAGGATTTACAAACCCTCATCCTAAACAGGAATCTATCTTCAAATATTCAATGGCTGAATTTGCACAACCTGGTTTCTCAACCCAGTGTTATGCTAAGTCCACTAAGTCTGATGTGGGCATAGGAGGATGCCACAATGTCTTTGACAAAACTCTGCCTCTTCTGTATGTCTTAGGTCATTGTCAGGTGCAAAGGAGCAGGGCTATACATTAAGTTGCAATTCAGAAAGGTTTACTGCTTAAGTTTATACACAAGAATCATCTAGTCCACTATAATTCACATCTGAATTGGTGCCAGATAAGGATCTGTGGAATTCAAGAAAGGCTAGATTTGAATGATTTGTGGCAATGTAAAGATTCTAAGTTGATGACACATTTAACTCTGATGCGTAGTTCTGCCTGCTCTTCTCCTATAGTCATTATTTGTAAGTGCACAAGGGGCAGAATTTGCACTATGACTTTATGATGCATTTTAGTCATTTTGATGAAATTTCATCACCTATGCAGCACGTATTAACTAAGATGAAAATTAACTAAACATGTTAGATAAATACAGCGCGACACATGTAAATGTACTGTTTTTAAATAACTTTATTAGATTTTAAAATCAAGAGATCAAAACTAATGAAAGCAAATTATAAAGGTGGGATATAAAATAAATAAATAAATAAAGATAGAAGATAGACAAAATAAGAATGAAAACAAAAGCAAAAGTGCAGGAATAAAAAAATACAAAGAAATGACATTTTTTACAACAAATATAACTATAAATGTACATTAAACATTCTAAGTTTACAAGTTTATTCATTTTTTCTATTATCTATTATTATTTCTAATTGTCAAAACCATATATCATAATATTATTTTCTGTTTCACAGAGAGAGCTTACACAATTAAATGTATTGCAAGAATGCAGCCATTATTGCATATGCTTAAAAGAGGATGTTCGTTGTTTACTTTCCACAGTATACCGTACTTTTGCCATAGTATACCGTACTTTTGCCAGCAATCGGTTCCAAAGAAATCAGTTTGAGACATCAATCTAGCTCATGACTGGATAAAATGTAATGGTTTCTAAAAGTTTTTGAGATAGGGGCCTAAACAGCCAGAAGGTAACTCAAGAACCTCAGAAAAGATACTGATTTGTAGCATCTAATACAGCACACCATCTCCCAGAACAATAGTTGCAACAACCATATGAATTTCTTACGTATTCTTATTAAGCTGTGAAATTTTCAGCAACCTGTAAAATTCTTAAAATTTTAAAAACTATGTTTTTTCTCTTGTTACTGTTATTTAAACAACTGACACTTCTACCTATTGGGATTGAATGCAAGCAGAGTGGCTTTTCAGAATCAACATTAAAGCAATTTATTATTAAAGAGCAAACTAAAAGATCCAGCCATGATTATAATAGTCAGGAAAAAATACACATATTAAAAATACACAGAACATACAAAAAGCAAAACAATTTCTTGTCAAACTCAGGATATAGGATTTATTTATTATCTTATTCAAAGGGCATCCAAGATGCTGCCAAATGACAGTAGAGACCTTGAAGTCATATTTCTCATAATCAAAACGCTGCAAAAATCCATAGCTTGCTAAATGGTAACAAAAGTATAGTGGCCCTACTATAGTCTAGTCTCCACCCGTTTTAGGGAAAGGTCTCATTCAGGAAAATTGTAAGCCATGCAGAAGAGAAAAAAAAACACAGTAGAACCTCTGATCACAACATAATTCATTCTATAACTTTGGTTGCAACCTGATTTGGTCATGGCCCGAATCTAATTTTGGAAATTTGGTGCTTACTAAAAAAATGGCATGGAAGGGGAAATTGGCCGCGGGAAAAATTATGAATTTTTTGGTCAGAACCTGATTTAGTGATGGTCAGAAGCGTTTGTGACCAGAGGTTCTACTGTACTATGATCAAAAACACCATCTCAATTACTATCCCTGCAAGTTGTTTTGGACCAACGGAAGTTTCTGGACTATTCTGGACTAACCAAAATCCAAGATGTAAATATGTGCAAATAGAATACATTATTAGAACATGGACAATTGTGGCCAATCCATCTCATTCCAGGTTAGTAATTTATCAGCTGAAAAGGTTGCTGCATAAGGAGTTGCAGAAGACATGAGGATCCTTAGCCAGTTTGAAAGCAGTTTCATGCCTCTATGCTGCAAAGCTGATACAGTATATTCACAGCTCAAGCTGTGGTGTAGCTGAAACTATTTCAAAGCTGTGGTTCTGTTATCTGCAATCATTCCGCATCACCTTTCCGCCCCAGTCCTGGACTTTTGATTATCTAAGGGCTGATTCTGTAAGCTTGATTCTAACTTTAAAACCTAGATATGAAGTGTCAGGCTGCTTGGTTTTTGTTGCCTTCTATTTTTTTTTTATACAAGAGGCACGAGGTTGTTGTTGTTTTTTAATGCCTACAAAACGTACAGTTTGGGGTGGGTCTGTAGTTGTCAGCCCTGTGAGGCAGACCAGATCAAGACACTACAGGAAGTAATAATGCTATTTTATTGTTGTAGTAGGATATATTAACAGGGAGAGCCAGTTTGGTGTAGTAGTAATTAAGGTTAAGAAATCAGGAGACCAAGAATTCTAGTCTTGCCAGATGGGTGACCTGGGGTTAGTTACTCTACCTCAGCCCTAAGAAGGAAGCAATGGTAACCCACGTCTGAAAAATCCTGCCAAGAAAACTGCAAGACTTGTCCAGATTAAAACACGACTGAACAGAAGAAAAAAAAAATTAAGATAATTTTAAAAACTTGCCCTTTAAAAAAAAAAATTATTGGTTTTTAAAACAAACATAAACAAACAAAACATAAAAACATCAAGCCATCTTCCATATATATACATACAGTGTGCCAGTTGGTTTACAAATTGTTTTGTGCTTCCATTTCGTAGTCTTACAATAACATTGTATATATTCTCATATTTTCAATCAAGTATTAAATAGGTTAATATCATTATTAATCAATCATTTGACTATATTTTTATCCATTCATGTTTTACGAAATAATCATATTTTACTTAATTTGTTTTATGACAGTTCATATTATCATCTCAAATCTATCCTAGAATCATTTTGTAGATATAATAATAAAAGAATACATCTTTATATATTTATTATTTTCTAAGAATATACATAATTCATTACTATGTTTTATTGTCTAACCATTGATAGAACAGATGCCCTTTTTAAGGACCAGTAGATCAAGGCAGGGCTGTTCTGAATCCCTGTCTCACACCTTCTATTTTCTCAGGGCTAATAACTGTTCCTTCTCTGGCAGCCCTTTCTGAAGAACACAACTAAATTTCCCAAAGGTGATTTTCACTTGTCTCCTCAGCTCAGTTTCACAGGAAGTGAAATTAGTAGTAAATAATCTTTAAATTGCATTTGGGGAGTGAAAATGGAGCCAGGGTAGAAGGTACTTTGATCTAATCAGGACTGGAAATTACCATGATCAACATTACCAGAACTCACAGAAGAGGGATAGTATTAAGGGCACATGAAGATCTGCTCTATACTGCTTTGGTAAGACCACATTTGTAATACTGTGTCCATTTTGGGTATCATGATATAAAAATGGTATGGCAACTCTGGAGAGAGTGCAGAAAAGAGCAACAAAGATGGTTGCTCTAAAACTTCCAATGAATGGTTGCAGGAAGAAGGTATGTCTAGTCTAATGAAGAGAAGGACTGGAGAGACATGGTCGTAGTCTTCCAATATTTGAGAGGTGGTCACAGAGAAGAGGGGGACAATCTACTCTCCAAATCACCTGAGTGCAGGACAGGAAGTTAATGGATGGAAGCTTATCAAAGAGAGATCCAACCTGGAACTAAGGAGAAATTTCTTGACAATAAAAACGATCAGTGCAACAGCTTGCCTCCTTAAGTTATGGGTGCTCGACCACTGGAGATTTTTAAGAACAGATCGGATGGTCATTTGTCTGGAAAAGAATAATTTCTCCTGCTTGAGCAGAAGGTTGAACTAGAACAGGGGTCTCCAACCTTGGCAACTTTAAGTCTTGTGGACTTCAACTCCCAGTCCACAAGTCTTAAAGTTACCAAGGTTGGAGAGCCCTGAACTAGAAGACCTCCAAGGTCCCTTCCAACTCTTGTATTCTGTATTCAGATCTGGAAATTCCTCTTAGACATCTCTTACAGAGGCCAACATAGAATGCAAGCAACATCATTAACGTTTTGCATGTATAATTTTTTTTAATGTTTTTTTACCTGTAGATCACCCAAATCACTTAGATAGTGAGCTGGGCAGTGTTTACATTTGATAAATAAAAATAAATAAAAAATAGTAGGCTACCGTGAAACAAAGGAAAAAGTGTTCTTCCCCTCCATTACTTCCACAGAATTACCTCAGTCATGGATTGGAATTCATGTTTAGTCAGATTCGTGGGTTTTCCTCCACCTGTAATCTATCCACTTTCCAGTTTTCTTCATCTTAGCTCCAACATCAAGGCTGATAATTACAGCTTTTTCGTGATGCATTTTGTATTGATTGATGAACTTTTTACTCTGTTGCCAGCTGCCTTTTCTGTTTTTCTCCCAGCTAGGTGGTACATATCTTTTAAAATATAAAAACATAAATAACTCCTATGTTTGTAATAATCTGTACCAGCTTGGCAAGGTAGGGCATTGGCTGCTGATTTACTTTTCACAAGAGTATGCTAAGTTTCTGTTTGAAGATTTTGCATGATTTTGCATAGTAAAATGGGTTTTATCTTCAAGTAAGGCTAAACTGGTAAACTGCTATTTGGGTGGATTAAATACATATAATTGGATCCTGCTGTATTTTCCTTCCGAAAGAAAGAACAATCTGTCATTTTTCTTATCCTGCTAAGACAAAGCTGTCAGAATTCAGTGTATTAGAGTTACCAAACCCAACTCTACCATTGGATTAGGTCTTGTCACCCATATGTGTTGGCTCAGAAATGCAACATCTCAAACGCATGTGCAAAAATGAATCATTTTATTTCCTTTTATACTTACATTGAAGGAGGAAATGGCATTGTTTTATTGATTGATGGTAATCCACCTAGAGCAGGGATGTCAAACTCAAGGCCTGGGGGCTGGATCCAGTCCATGGAGTGCTTAACTCTGGCCCATGGGGTCACCCTGGAAACAGCAAAGGACTGGCCCACAGTGCCTCTGCCAGAAAAACGGAGCTCAGGAGGGCCACGTGCAGCCCCCCCAAGCTCCGTTTTCATTAGCAGTGGGTTGCAGGAGGCTATTGCAGATGAAAATGGAGCTTGCAAGGGCTGCAGGCAGCTCTCCCAAGCTCTGTTTTCACTGGCAGAGGGTTGCAGGAGGCCGTCGCAGCCAAAAACGGAGATTGGGAGCCCGTTTTTGCTGGCAGAGCATTTGGGTCACCACAGGCGCCCCCGATGTGAATGATGTAGAGCTGGCCAAGTCCACCCTGGCCACACTCCCCAGCCCCCCCCCAAGGTCAAACACGATGTGGCCCTCAATGAAATCAAGTTTGACACCCCTGGCCTAGAGTTACCTTTCACTAGGTGACTGGCATATAAGTTTAATAAATATATAAAATAACAAGGCAAAGCAAAGGAATGTTAATAACAAGGAAAGGGGGTAGGTACATGGAGATGAAGAAAGCTAAAGGAAACCAGGCAGGTAACAAACATAGATATATCAGACAGAATAACACACAAACTCTGATATTCTTAATATAAACTTTGTGTTTATAATACCACCTTCATTACTCAATACTTAAGACCTTTGATTTGCATAAACCTACAGAAGTTGCTTTCCAACTCTCTAAGGATTGCTGGTGCAGCCTTCAGAATCATAATAAACATGACTTGTATTCTATTCAACTTCTATGAAATGGATGCTTGGCTCTCAATGATTAAACAAGCCCACAAAAAGAAATTTTCTTCTAAAATATATACCGTGATAACAATCTGCAGTACATCATGTCTTACAAGCAAATGCAAAATGGTTTCTTTCTTCTATAGATTTTTGAACTACATTTACAAACAAGTAAATTCTTCTAGAAAAAATGTCTTGAGCACCTATCACACTTGAGCTTTAAAAATCCCAGTGAACACTAGATGGCAGTAAGGAGATACCAAAAATTCTCTTTGCTGCCATCAAATGGTTATGCAGATTTATTACTATAAAAGCTATTTGGGCTTCCTGGACTATCTCTGCTAATTTGCCAGTCATTTCACTACACCAATGTTTCCCAACCTTAGCGACTTTAAGATATGTGGACTTTAACTCTCAGAATTCCCCAGCCAGCACGGGAATTCTGGGAGTTTAAGTCCACGTATCTTAATACTACACTGCTGCTTTGGATGTCACCACAGGAAGCTTTTTTTTAGAAAAGAAGTGGTGGCAAAACCAGATTGGCTGACGTGTGGTAAAATTTTATCTTTTAATTCTGGTGACCCAATACTAAAGCTGAGGGAAGAACTTGAATCAGAAAGTTATGCCTATCCTTAGTTTACTTATCAGCAACTGAAAGAAAGGTTCAAATTAGATAAAAAGTGTTATGGATTTGACTTTGTTAAAAATGGATTGGAACTTACATTAAGTAGCAATGATGAACATATTTTTGCTAAGATTTACAAAAAGTTATTGAAATTGAATTTGAAAAATGAACATGTAAAACAGAAAATATATAAAACAGCAAACATGTGGAAAACTCTTAAAAATATCACTGGTTACAGCAAACCTCCTTCCCATGCTGAAGAAAATCAATAACTGGCAGATGACCTGAATGTGTTTTACTGCAGGTTTGAAAGGAAACTACTGCCACCCTTCTCCACAATCCCCATCTCAGACATACCAACAATAGCCAAGTTTCATAGAACTTACCCCATCCCATTGGGCCCACCACCTCTGGTGATGACAGAGAATGAGGTGCAAGGTCTATTTCACAGACAAAAGCCAGGAAAAGCACCAGGCCCAGACAAGATAACTCCTTCTTGCTTAAAAGCTTATGCTGATCAACTGGCCCATATCTTCACCTCCATCTTTAATAAATCACTAGAGATGTGCTATGGTTCTTCTTGCTTCAAATGCTCTACTATCATCCTAGTGCCAAAGAAACCTTCTATCCAAGAACTGAATGATTTCAGACTGGTTGCTCTAACATCTGTAGTTAAGAAGACCTTTGAAAGGCTAGTGTTGACCCACCTGAGAACCATCATGGATCCACTATTAGACTCCTTGCAATTTGCCTACCAAGCAAATAGATCGACAGATGATGCTGTTAATATGACTCTGCACTACATCCTACCACATCTTGAATCTCCAAAGACCTATGCAAGGGTCCTTTTTGTAGTTTTCAGCTCAGCATTCAATACCATCATTCCAGATATTCTTCTAACTAAACTAAATCAACTAGCTGTACCTGACCACATAAATGGATCATAAGCTTCCTAACAGACAGGAAGCAGCAGATGAAGCTAGGCAAAACCACATCTGTACAATTAGCATAGGAGCCCCCAGGGCTGTGTGCTTTTTTCCATTTCTCATTTCTCTATATACCAATGACTGCATCTCAAAAGATCCTTCTGTTAAAGTACTGAAGTTTGCAGATGATACCACAGTGATTGGTCTCATTCGAGACAACAATGAATCTGCATACAGATAGGAGGTTGAACAACTAGCCTTGTGGTGCAGCCAGAATAATCTTGAATTAAATACACTCAAATCCATAGAAATGGTGGTGGATTTAGGAGAAACTCTCCTATACAACCACCTCTTACAATACTAGACGACACAGTATCAACAGTAGAGACCTTCAAGTTTCTAGATTCTATCATATCTCAAGACTTAAAATGGACACCTAACATCAAAAACGTCATCAAAAAAGCACAAAAGAAGATGTTCTTTCTGCATCAACTCAGAAAGCTCAAACTGCCCAAAGAGCTGCTGATACAGTTCTACAGAGGAATTATTGAGTCTGTCATCTGTACCTCTATAACTGACTGGTTTGGCTCTGCAACCAAACAAGACAGACACAGACTTCAGCAGATATTTAGAAGTGCAGAAAAAACAATTGCTATCAACCTGCCTTCCATTGAAGACCTGTATACAGGGGTGGGATTCTACCAGTTTGGACTGGTTCTATAGAACCGGTTGTTATGATCCTGCACAGTCTCTTAAGGTATTTCTTTTTAATCCCTCCCGGTGATCAGCTGTCCCCCCCCGTGCTCCATTTTTTTCCTTCTCCAAGAGGCTCCCCTGAGGCCCAGAAGCCCCCAAAACAGAGCACAAGAGAGGGTCTGTGGTTCCCCCCATGCTCCATTTTTTCCTCCTGGGTCCCAGGGAAGCCTTCTGGGAGCAAAACCGCCCCCCAGGAGGCTTCCCTGAGGCCCAGAAGGTCCAAAAAATGGGGGGGGGGTGCTGCAAAAAAGCCATGCCCACCTAGAACCGCCCATAGAACCAGTTGTTACAAAATTTGTATCCCACCCCTGCATTCCCACTGAGGCTAGTAATACTATTACTAAATTTGCAGATGATACAACAGTGGTGAGACTCATCTCCAGAGGGGATTAGTCTGCCTACCAAGATGAGGTGGACCAGTTGCTTTCATGGTGTGGAGCCAATAACTTGGTCCTCAACACCAATAAGACTAAGGAGCTTATAGTGGACTATAGAAGGAACAGGTCAGACATCCAACCCTTGCTTATCAATGGAGACCAAGTGGACCAAGTGGCCAGTTTTAAGTTCCTGGGTGTTACCATAAAAGAGGACTGGACCTGAGGTGCTCAAATTGCAGCCCTGGTCAAAAGGGCCCAGCAGAGATTATACTGCCTGAGACTTCTCAGAAAACAACAGCTGAATGAAAAACTGCACCATAGAGAGTATCTTAACTTATTGCACCTCTGTATGGTTTGCCAATTGCACAGTGGCAGATAGGAAAGCACTCCAGAGGGTTAACGTCATTGTCCAGAAGATCATTGGATGCCTCTCCCCTCTTTGGAAGAGCTTTATAGCTCCTGCTGTCTTAAGAAATTTCAAAACATTTTCAAAGATCCGTCTCATCTGGGCACCTTTTTTTGAACTATTACTATCTAGCAGATGGTACAGGATAACAAAAACAAGCACAGATAGGCTGAAAAACATCTTCTATCCCAGGGCAGTAGGTCTTTTGAATTCTACTGTATAGTGCAGTGTTGGTGCAGTGTTGGGGGTTTTCAGTTCAAAGTGTGGAGTGTGAAGGATGTGTGTTTGTGTACCTGATGGACCACATCATGGTCATGATGTGCACTGAAGATGGTGTTTGATTTCATTGCACAAGGTGCAATGACAATAAAGTAAAGTACACTAAACTAAAGAGGGCTGTGAAAATATCTACAAACCCTTCACATCCTGGACATAAATTGTTTCAATTGCTACCCTCAAAATGATGCTATAGGGCACTGCATACCAGAACAACTAGACACAAGGACAGTTTTTCCCCAAATGCCAACACTCTGCTAAACAACTAATTCCCACAACACTGTCAAATTATTTACTAAGACTGTATTACTATTATTCTTCTCATCCTTCCTAGTATCTATCTCTTCCCACTTATGGCTATAACCGTGTTGCTTGTATCTTTATAATTTATATTGTTTTATTTGTTTCTTACCATGATTTGATTGCTTATTAGTAACCTATGGCTATCACTAAGTGTTCTATCGTATGATTCTAGATGAATGTATTTTATTTTTTTCTTTATGTACGCTGAGAGCATATGCACCAAAGACAAATTCCTTGTGTGTCCAATCACACTTGGCCAATAAAAATTCTATTTTAAAACATTGTATGATTCAGTGGGCAAGGAATTTTGGATATAATGTGATGCTTGAACAATGGGAAAATATGTGGATGAAGGGTTTAAAATTTACATTAAATTATAATCTAAAAGAGAATTTCTATAAGATGATATATCGTTGATATTTAACACCAGATGTTATCTAAGATGTATAAAGGTATGTCAAATGAATGTTGGAAGTGTAAAAATAAAGAAGAGACTTTTTATCGTTTATGTTGGACATATAATAAAGCAAAAAAACAAATTGGAGTATGACTCATATTTTAATACAGAAAATTCTGAAAACAGAGATAAAAATGAAACCAGAACTTTTCCTTTTGGGTCTAATGGAAAAAGATCTGGAGACAAAAATTGGAACTTTGTTATATTGACAGCAGCCAGACTATTGTATGTGCAAAAATGGAAGGACACTTCAATTCCTATCACGGAAGAATGGTTGCAGAAGTTGATGGAGTTGGTGAAATGGCAAAACTGACTACTTGATTAAAGAAAAGAACATATAAAAGCCAGACAGTCACAACAAGAAACATAGCTGAAAACAAAGTTTTAAATCGTTTTAATATTGATGGCTAGTCATTCATGTACTTTTGTTTCCACATGAAAACCACTTCTGAACTTCGTGCTTGATGTGGAAAAGAATTAAACTCTGGGTTTTACAGATTAGATGATAGATTTTTATAGAAATGACTTGTTCATACTATTATGGAAAAGCAAAAAGTTGTGATCTGATGTTAAATGCCTTATTTTACTGTAACAGAGAGAGTCAAAAATCAATGCTTCTTTTTCTTCCCTTCCTCCCTATCTTCACTTCACTTTCCCCTTTTCCTTCCCTCCTCGCTGCTCTTCTGTTTACTTCTGTATTTTGTGTTTTATAATACTCTATAACTTAATAAGAATGTTTTTTAAAGAGAAGAAATACTGAATTACATCAGTAGCTCAATCAATCTATGTGGAGATGCCTGCTGCTTTCAGATGGTATCTATCTTCCCTTCTGTTGCGATATAAAACAGATTGCCTCACCTTACTTCAGGCCCTGTCCAGATGTTTTGCCTTGTGCGGGCAATTCAGGACTTGGAAGCCTGGCAATGTCACACAGCCCCTTTGTGCCAAGTCAGCCTCTGTGCCACAGTTCATGCGACGCACCAAGTTCTTCTCAAAGAGCAATGGATGGTAAGCACCCAGTGTGCAGGCATCATCAGAGAAATCCTGGTAATAGTGGCACTGATGGGACTGCCGTTGAGATGGTAGGAATTCATACACATGGACAAGTTCGCATAAGGACATCATTAGCACTGTTCCTAAAGATTGAGCAGAGAATGAGAGAGACAAGGAAATAAAGTGACTAGCATACAAGGAACTCCAGGAGTGGGAAGTTCATTGCCAAGATAAGATAGAATTCTGTCAGTTATAGAAGCCTCTTCATCTGGATTGAAATATTAATGAGAGATCCCGTGAGCACATGCAGAATGACTCTTTCATTGGCTATAGAGGCATCTGTAAAATCCTTATTAAATAATGATTCATCATTATTAAAATGATGAATGCAAAGTTATACCAAGCAAGCTCCAGTCCTTTTGTGATATGTACAATATCATGACCAATATACGAAAGGGATGGTCTGGGTTGTGGAACCAACATGATGCTGTTTTCACCATTTGAATCCTATCCTGTGCTGATGCCTCTGATTAGTTTGATCCACACAGAGTGCTGGACTAGATGAAAAGTGGGTTAGATTCAGCTACATGTGGAGTCTAGCAGTAGAGGTGAATTACTATATAAAGTTAATTTGTTTGGATACAATTAAAGCCAACAAATCTTAGCCATTAAAAGTCCTTGCAACCTCTAGATGGCAGCAAAAATAGAAAAGTTGTCTGTTTGTTGCCTGTAATGGTCATCTGGATTTTTGCAATTCAAATCTGGTAATCTTAGACTGGGATGTTATGTAAATATAGCAACTATGTCTTGTTGACCCAAATTTAGAGTGTTATGTAAACTCAGAATAACAGACTTGGAAGGGGTCTTCTAGTCCAGGGGTCCCCAACCACCGGGCCCCGGACCGGTACCGGTCCGTGGATCATTTTCTACCGGGCCGCCGGTTTGCTGGGCGCCGCCATCTTGTTTCGACAGAAAGTGCTTCCGGGTGAGCTTTTCCGGTTGGAAAGTGGCGTTTGGGTCCTGAAGGAATCCTTGCACCTTAGTTTCATCAAAGGGGGGGCGGCTTCGAACGAAGAGCCGTCCCAATGTCGGAGGAGATCAAAAAAGCACAAAAAAGGTACAAAGGAGGAGTTGAAGGTGGCGGGGAGAAGCGGGGGATGGCTGGCTGGCCGGTCGCTTGGCTCGCCTTGCCTTGTCATGAGTGCAGATGCCGGTACCGGGCCGCAGATCATTTTGTGATGTCACAGCATTAGATGTGTATTTATGGCTGGTCATCAAAGTTCCAGCTATTGCAGTATCCACATGGTCATATGATTATGAACACCTGGCAAGCAGCTTGCAACTTACAACAGTTGCAGCATCCTGCAGTCATTTGATTGTCATTCGAGACCTTCCCTGCTACCTTCTCACAAGCAAACTCAAAGAGGGAAACGGCAGAGAAGGTTGCAAACTGCTCAGGTAAATTACACCGTGGCACAAAAAAGGTTGGGGGCCACTGTTCTAGTCCAACTCCTTGCTCAAGCAAGAGATGCTATACCTCCAGTGATGGAGCACCCTACAACTTCTGAAGGCAAGTTGTTCCACTGGTTAATTGTTCTCACTGTTAGGAAATTTCTCCTTAGTTCTAGGTTGCTTTGATTAGTTTCCATCCATTGCTTCTTGTTTTGCCTTCTGGTCCTTTGGAAAATAGGTTGACCCCCTCTTCTTTGTGGAAGCCCCTCAAATATTGGAACATTGCTATCATGTCATCCCTAGTCCTTCTTTTCATTACATTAGACATACCCAATTCAATTACTGTCACTAAATAATTTTAGTTTTACCTTCAACTTCCCCCAAATTGTAATTAGAAGAAAGAGCTTCTTGGGATTAAGGAAGCAATGCCTTCCAGATACTTTTGAACCACACAATCTTACTCTAGGAAGTCCACAGGACAAGCCTCTTGGCAGTTACAGAATCTGGTTTTTGGTTCAGTAAGTTTGATCAAAATGAAGCATGGGACAAGGAATGCAAAATAGTAACTTTATGGCCACACATATAGTGATTATTTTGAAACAGGAAGTGTAGACAGCAGTTGCAAGCAAAAACAAGCAATGTAGCAGTTGTGGCTACAGAGAATATGGTAGGTTCAAGAATTTCCTTTCTTACTTACCCAGCAGGCCTGAAGATGGAGGGTTGCGCTGCACTTGTTCATCTGCCCCTTCCTGAACCACTTCCCAGAGCTCCCACTGTAGCCGTGGATGCAACAGATGGAACAGCTGCCAAGGTCTTTTGGCCCGCAAGGTACGGAAGGGTTCAAAGAGGGGATAATCAGGAGACTTGTACCACTGGGAATGAAAAAGACATACCTCTCAGGGTAGAACATCACTGCCTAACCAACCCCACAGACCAAACGCAGTGGTGGGATTAAAAAATTTTTTACTACCAGTTCTGTGGACGTGGCTTGGTGGGCGTGGTGTGGCTTGGTGGGTGTGGCAGGGGAAGGAAACTGCAAAATCCCATTCCCTCCCCACTCTTAGGGGAAGATTACTGCAAAATCCCCATTCCCTCCCCACCCCACTAACCTGCTTTCCAGCTCCGTTCTCCTGTGCAGGGCAACAAAAGAAGAGCTAGCCGATCAGCTGGGACTCAATGGGAGGCAGAGAACAGATGGGGGCAGGGCCAGTCAGAGGTGGTATTTGCTGGTTCTCTGAACTACTCAAAATTTCCGCTACCGGTTCTCCAGAACTGGTCAGAACCTGCTGAATACCACCTCTGGACCAAAGTTATATTTCATCTCCAGGTTTGCCCAAATACAGCAGAGAGGTTTAGCAGCTCATAACAATGTAATGGCTGCAATTGCACCACACTCTTAACCTAGTTGCTGAATTAACTGCATTTCTTGGTGGGTATATGTACAGGTGGTTCTCAACTTATTACCACAGTTGAGCTCAACATTTCCATTGTTAAGCAAGACAATTGTTAAGTGACTTTAGCCCCATTTTATGACCTTTCTTGCTTCAGTTGTTAAGTGAATCACTGCAGTTGTTCAGTTAGTAACACGGCTGTTAAGTGAATCTGGCTTCCCCATTGACTTTGCTTGTCAGAAGGTCACAAAAGGTGAACACATGACCCCGGGGCCCTGCAACCATCATAAATACATGTCAGTTGCCAAGCATCCAAATTTTGATCATGTGACTATGGGGATGCTGCAATGGTCTAAGTTTGAAAAACCCTCAAAAATCTTTTTTTCCAGTGTAAATTCGAACAGTCACTAAATGAATGGTTATAAATCAAGGATTACCTGGGCTGAAATATAGACCAACCAAATGGCCTGAGTTCACAAAACATCATAATTTCCACAAAGCAATCCTCCTACAAAATTTAGCATGTTTTTCAGCAATGAAAGTTTTCTAGTTCTTTCCTGAAAGTGGAGAGAGTGAATTTGCAGAGGGTTTTTGAGGACATCTCAAAAACACAACGGAATGGGAAAGGCTTTCTGTGCAGGAACACCCTTTTTCATTCTGATTGAACCCCATTTGGTTTACTTTTAGAAAGAGTTGGTACACTGATTTAGCTTTTTCGATATCATTTTGATAGTTTCAACTTCAGAGATTTTTGAGATCTTCAGCTGAATTATGGCTGTATGACACACTTAGTTAAAAATAAAAATAAATGACACATGCCACTATTATATTCTCTATCTTGTATGATTCCTCAATCAACCTTTATTGCTCTCTGGGTCACTTGACTCACTTACCGCAATAATTTGAGTTTCCAGAAACTGGGATTTATATTCCAGGTTTGGTAATGGTTATAAATGTGGTCTCCAGAAAATCAAAAAAGGCAGTTTTGATCTGTAGGGGTCAAAAGCCAGTACAAGTGCTCGTTAATGGGCTTTTTTAGTCTATTATGTCATTGAAATACAGTTTTATGTCTCTGAAATAGAAAATTATCATTGGTACATCCTGCAACTATGACTCAGCTGCTCTGGGGGGGAAATTCTAGACTTTAGATATGGTTTATTAAAATGGGTGAGTGAGTTTGTGTATGTGTGGAGAGAGAGGGAGGGAGAGAAGGAGGGAGGGAGAGAAGGAGGGAGGGAGAGGAACACTGCAGCTGAATTAGACTATAGTACTTCTAAAAGTTGCCAAGCACATTTATTCGTTAGATTTATATCCCATTATTTAGAATCTCAAGACAGTATTTATAGCATCTTTTCTCCAATCTTTTTCCTGCAGTGACAATCTATAATGTAAAGCTGATTGGGCCATTTATTCCACTCAGACCAAAGTCATCTAGTGAACTTTTATGCCTGAGTGTGGACTGGTATTTGGATGTCCAACTCCAACAAAAAGGATCCATTTATCCATTATGCTTTAATATACATCATCTCTTTTTAATTTGTTCTCATGGTTAGGAAATTTCTCCTTTATTCTAGGTTGCTTGTCTTCTTGATTAATTTCCATCTATTGCTTCTTGTCTTGCCTTCAGGTGCTTCGGAGAATAGCTTGACTCCCTCATCTTTGTGGCAGCCCCTCAAATATTGGAACACTGCTATCCATACACAATTCATGCAACTGTTTTTCATATGTTTTCGTCTCCAGACCTTTAACCATCTTTGTTGCTCTGTCGTTTAGTGCAGAAGGATTGAGACAAAACAGAACACAGAAAGCGCCATTTGCAGCATTTTTGGGATGATTTTTTTTTTTTTTTTGCAGAAACATCTGTCAGAGAGCACAAAAGATCCCACAGTTCATCCTTTCTATCAGTCTCAAGAAAATTTTCCAAGTTGGCATCAGTAAGTCAATTTTCTAACTGTGAGTTCACTAATTATGATTTGGGGGGAAAAGAAGCGTTCACATTAATGAAACATATGCACCTGTTAAGTTAGATAAAGCATATGTGAAATTAATATGCTTGAATTAGATCGTATTTATTTTTGTGTTTATTTACTCAATCAATTTCTATAGCTGTCCAACTCAACCAAGTGACCTTGGTTTTGTCTTTTTGTGAAACCGGAGCTGAAAGTTGGTTGCTGAATGCTGGATGTAATAAGATATGATGCCTGAGAATAAAACATAATGCTTTGCAAATGTCCAACACTGAGCAGAATGTACAATAAGAATGTATGTTTCCTTGGTTGTTTAATGTTTTTATGGATTAACATATATAGTACTACCTTGATAATCATCATTAATTGGTTCCATGAGAAATGATGATTATCAAATACATTTTTGAGTACCAAATGATGAGTACCAAATACATTTTTG